GAGAACAAATTCTATAAAGAGATAGAAATAGATATATGGTTCTATTAAAATCTATATCAGAATTTAGATTTTATATACAGTATGTGTGTGTGTGTGTGTGTGTGTGTGTGTGTGTATATATATATATATACATACATACATACACACACACACACACATACAGAGAGAGAGAGAGAGTGGGAGAGACAGACAGAGATCTCATTATGGAATTTATTTTCTAGGTGTTCTCTATATATGAGATTACATACATTATGAAGCATATATATCTAAATGCTTATCAGTTGCTAAGGAAAGGAAGAAATTAACAAGGAAAGGCTTTTGATCATTTCCAAGTTGTGATCACCCTAGGAAACAACTAAATGGATTTTTGGCCTAATCCTCTACTTAGATCTCCTTGTACTGCTTCCTCCTGATATACCATACCTCCTTTTTTGCATTTGATCTGGTCTAATCTAATTAATCAGTTGAAGACTATTTGACAGTAAGTCCTTTTGTATCAAATGAGACATATTCTCTGAAATGTAGCATGTCAGCCAGTGATGGTGAACCTTTTGGGCTTGGCACGTCAAAAATTCAGAAAATGCTTAACTTGACTCTGCTGGTGTCTCATCCCCACTGAACAAAACAATTCTTTGCACATTCATTTATTTTAAAAAAATACAGTCCAATCGTGTGGTGCTATGTATCATATAAAGAAATGTCAAATAATTACAAAAATGAAATATAAGTAAAACAAACTCAGTTTCTTTGGTAACTCAGACAGGGAGAATATTTATTGTTGAGAGTTGGTGAATGCTGACATGTCACCCAGAACGTTGTGCTATGTCATAGGTTCGCCATCATTGCCCTAACATGTAATACTATATATTTTGCACCTTTCAATTATGCCATACTTCCAAGGTAAGTCATAATTCCAAAGGTTGATTTGGTTGGGGCTGTAGCCTATGCCATGCCAGTTGCAGACTACCACTTTTTCATTATGTTTAGTAAATAGGGATGTGCAGTGCTTTGGATCTAAAGCCAAAGCTGTAATAGCCACCTGATCCCAGGAAAATAATTGAGTTAAGAAGGTGCCGATAGGGTGTGACATGGTACTTTGGAGAGGGCATGGATTTTGTCATTATGAATGTGCTAATTTTTAACTTTTTTTTGTTATTGTTGTTACAACCAATTAACGTAGCTACACCTCTGAGAGACTTCTATTAAAAAACCCTCCAGCATAAAGAAGCATTGAATTGGGCTTTAAAAGCTTGCTTATGATTTACTGACATAGAGATTCACAAACAAGGTTAAAATGGAACTGAAAAGTTTGTGGTTTAGCATGTGAGAATCCAATAATTAGTTGCATTCACACAAGGCACTTAACCTGCCTATCAAAATAATTAATATTCTAGGCTCACACAACAGATTGCGCCATAGCCTAACAGACTGGGTTCACATAGCATACCAAACCACAACATTCCGTTAACACTAACCAAACTTAGCCCATTGCATATATACAGCTGTTATGCTATTACATGACATATGAATAGAACCACAGTCTCAGAATATTAAAAGGGGTAGAGAAAATGAAGAGCAAATTAAAATTAAAAAATAAGAAAATGTTTCAGATGAAACTGACATGAGGGAATGCTGGAAAGAGTATTTTAGAGATTTGTATGGGAATGACAGTGGTATATTGAATGCTACAAATGTTTGTGTCCAAGGAAAAAAAGATGAAAAGGAGGTAATAAAAGTTGTTAAGACTGCTGAAAAATGGTAAGGCTGGAGGTGTAGATAACTTGAGAAATGATTAAAACATGGATAGAGTTTGCTTACGGGGTGGCCGGCAGCTTGTTTAATGTATGAGTAAAGACAACTAGAAGAATGCCATTATTGTTCCCCTATGCAAATTGTAAGATAGGAACAGTAGATGCAAAAAATACAGAGGGATTGTTTTATTCAGTAAAAGGAAAGGCATTTGGCAGAATACTGATTTGAAAGGGTGCAAGAGGTGACAATGAGCAAAACTGGAAAAGTGCAGTGAGGTTTTATGCTAGGCATGGAGAGTGCAGGTCATATTTTTGCTCTTCAGCAGATCACTGAGAAATGCATGAATGTGAGAAAGGAAGTTTATTCAGTGTAGACTAATTTAGCAAAAGTGCATGGTAAAGTGAATAGACTTGAATTCCGGAGTGTTTTATGCAAATATGGAGCTTAAATGTGGTTGCTGAATGCAATATGATTGTTAATCTGATAGAAATAAAGCATACTTGAGATAAATGGAATTCTCAATGAATGGTTCAACATTAAGACAAGGATGTGTGATGTTCCCCTGAGTTGTTTAATGTATTTTTAAATAATCTATAAGGAATTCTTGTGAGATGTGTTGTTGGGAACATGAAGGTACATGTACTTGTGTGCGAATAATGCTGTGTTGTTGGCGAAGAGCCTAATAATTACCTGTATGATGCAAAGAAGAGGATGAATCTGAAAATTAATGTATAAAAGCAAGACCAATATATGATAGGGAAAACTGAGTGAACAATTGCAATTTATAGTATAGGGTGTGGTCTGTTGCATTGAATGTGTATCTGTCAAAAGAAGCAAGAATGACTGTGTATAAGGGTGTGTCTCTCTCCCTTTGTTCTATGGAAATGAGAGTTGGGGATATCCGGAGAAATACAAAAAAAAAAAAATTGAATGCAATGGGAATGGGATATTTAAGAAAGGTGCATTGTAAAACAAGAAGAGATAGGGTCAAGAATGAATGGGTGGATGTTGAATCAATGTGGTTTGAACACCAAATTCAGTAAGCAGTACAAAAGGAACATGTTGAGAGGTTTTGGTCATATGCAGAGAATGAGTGGACTGAATTGCAAAACAGATATATGTAAGAATGGGTCAAGAGAATGGGAAAACTAAAAAAGTTGTGATTGGGTGCAACAGCATCCATAATAAGCCACAATGACGTCAAAATGATGATGCCTGCATCATGACATCATTGTGAAAAGGATGCGAGTATGTCCTTGTATCATGAAGTCTAAAGCAAGCTAAGTCACTGTGTTCTGTATTCCCGCCTCCACAATCCCCCTTTATGGAATCTCGGGTACAGAAGTAGGACACTTTTGGCAGGCGAAAGAATTCCTCAGCTGCTCTTCCTGTATCGTCTAAGCCCATCCGTTCCACCCACATCCTTACGGCGCTCATTCACTCCACTTCTTTCTCGCAAAGACAAAGTGCAACGAATTACTACCTACGCGCATGCGCGTGGATCACTTAATTTCCGCGCGTCTTCCCTCTGTCGCGGTCCGCGCCCGAATAACAGTCGCGAGCGCTTAGGTAGACGCTCTGGGATTACGGCTTCTTTGCCATTCTAAATATGGAGGTAGCGGTTCGCCGTAGGAAAGCAATGCGCACGCGCAATGCAAGCGATGACCCACGGAAGGCAAAGCGTTTGTCGCTCCGCAGATGGCGGTAGCCAATGGGGAGGAGGTTGGCGTGGCAACAAGGGGGTGGAGAACCAGGCTCCTCCCCACAGCTTGTTGGCGGGAGACTGGCCGGGCAATGAGAAAGTGACGTGAGAGATGTAAGAGGGGTAACTACGCGGAGGACCAGTGTTTCTGCAACCGGGGTGGGCGCATAGAAAGTGGCCTGCCGATGTGGGGAAAGGGTCGACATTTGTTGGGGTTCTGGGGAGCAGGAAGCTAAGGGTTTATAGCAGTTTGCTCCAACCTGTTGACCTCCAGATATGTTCAACTGTAACACCCATCGTCCCCAACCAGCATGGCCAATGGCTAGCACATACGGAGGACGCAGATTGGGAAGGACTGTTTTAGGGGTCTGAAGATACCTGGGAGGCAAATGGAAGTGGGTTGGGCGAAATGCGCTGGTAGATTTGTGGAAGCACTTCAGGAAGTGATCCAACGTTGGCCTTTGAAGAACAAGGGCAAGCAGTGATTTAATGGAGTAGGATGGATAAAGTTAATTGTAGAGGGAAAGTGTATTGGGAGGAGGGAATCGAACTTTTGACTGCACTTGTTATTCTGAGGCTGCTGGAAGTAGTAGTCCAATATATCTGGAGGGCACCAACTTGGGAAAATTGAGCTTCTGCTCAAATGTGTGATTCATCTAGCACCGACTAAATGACTTTTTAAAAGAAGCAAAACTCATGCAGCATAGACCCCACAAGGCAATAATCCATGGCCCATAATGCCATTCCTGTTTTGCTTTCTTGAAAAGCACTGATTTAAATGGGTCATTGATCTGATTCATTAAGGCCATATTTATAAGGAACATGATTTCATTAGATACTTGGATGATCTTTAAGCAATTGTGTTATTTTGAAAGAAAATGTTTGGATGCAGTTCTGAGGCCTAGTTTTTCCCTTTCCTTGCTATTTCTGTGTTCAAAATTCTTCGTTTTCTTGTTTTATTCATCACAGGGGAAAAGAAAAAGGATTCAGTAACTATTCCCAAGCAGATGGGGCTTGATTTTAAGTGAATAAATGCCAAACAAAGAGTTAAGCAGCCCTTAACTTGGTAAGGGAAGGGGATAATTTTGAATGTTGATTCCAGATGCCTGAGATCAGATTTTGTAGAAAAAGTAATTTGAACCCCTATAGCTAAGGGTTTTTTTGGCATATTAGAATTTTAGGTTGGCATATCCCTGTTTGTTTCTGCTTTTGGGGAACAACTTGCTTTTGATGAAGCTGATATGAAGTGATCTTCAATTTCTAGGAAAGCCAAAATGGAAAACAAGAGGAAGGCTTCTGTGAAAAGCACTAGTATGGGAGACCTTACGCCATCACAACAGAAAAGGCCACGAGGAGGAGACTGGGATGAAGATGGCCCTTCACAATTTGAAGAGGAACTGGCTTTTCTGGATGAGGTAGAGGCTGAGGTGGCTCTAGAGATCAAAGAAGCACAGTTATCATCTGATGCCATTCCCCTTGGTGAGTTGCAAGGATACAAATTGGGAGAAAGCTCTCTGAGGCAGAACAAGTCACAGAGCAGTGAGGGTAGCTGGAGAAGCTGTTTGGCAAGTGTATGATACATTGGATGGTGGCGGCTCTGGTTTTTGTGATCCATGCTAAAATTAAACTTTTCATTTCCATTAATTTAAACTCTTACACAATTCAAATTTATTTTAACACAGTATTTCAGTGTTTTAAAAATTATTATAGCATTGTCATTTGTATCCCCAAATACTACAAAAAGATGTTACGTACATCATGTATCATACTAAGACTTTTCAAACACCAGTTGAGACTTTGTGTCTCTTGTTCCATGCTGCCTTTCCTTCCTGTTCTTTTCATTCAGTAGACTGAGCTTTGGAAAAGCAAGATCTTTAACTGTTCAAAATCTAGGATTGATTAAAAAGGGATTGATGGACATCCGTGTTGTGGGTTTTTCCTCTTCTTTCAGGTAATCTCTTCTCATCAGTACACAACCCCAAGTGGCAGAGGCCACTGCCTCCCAAAATAAACCCCAAAGAGGAAGGTCTGTGTTTCCAGCAAGTGGAACTAGATTATTATGTGGGTAAGTATGTAAACAGGTTAAGTTGCTGATAGAGAACTTGGGGTTGAATGACTGATGGACTGGTTTTATTCCTTTTCATAGAAAAGGGTTTGCAGAACTAGGTACTCTTATTCCTTGACTAAACAATAACTCTCTGCTCCTGAGGGGAAGTCTGAAGCTATTACAGTTTCTGGGGTTTTTGAAGCTAGAACAGATCCACAGTGTTCCTAACTCCTCTCTCCAGAGAGAATGGGAAAGGAATGGAATTCCCCACAGAGGTTTTAGCCCCAGTTTTGTTTTGCTGTTGCTTGATGTAAGAAGATTCCCCCATAGCAAATAGTCCAGGATGTACCATAGGAATGTGCCTTTGATTTGCCAATGGAAGACGAGTGAATTTAGGAAGATTCCCTCCAAGAAAGATGAAATTAAATATAAAAACTCAGCAAATCTAACTTTCCTATTTTAAAGATACGTTGTTTCAGGGAAAAGTCCTACTTTTCTTTTCAGATACATACACTATATATCCAAATTGTTTTTAATGTCTTTATTTTTTTTTAAAAAAGGAACAGAATGATTGCTAAACTTCATGTGTATGGAATAAACAATCCAGAAATAATAATAATAATAATAATAATAATTATTATTATTATTATTATTATTATTATTTTTAAACTACACTGAGTAAAACAATCCAGAAATAATAATAATAATAATAATAATAATAATAATAATAATAATTATTATTATTATTATTATTTTTAAACTACACTGAG